GGGTAATGGAATTGAGTTTATTGTCGACGTGCAAGTTAAAATCACCTACAATCAACAGATGTCATTTGTATGAAACATATCAGAAGCAAAGTACCTAACTCGAGTTGAAACTGGGATACAATGAGTTTATTTTTGTTGCTAGGTGGTGGGCGATACAGAATCATATGATACATTTTAGAGGGATTCCGTAGAGGAATTATGTCATCTCAGTGGCTTCAAATGATTTGACATGTGCCACAGGCTTCCAATACCACCAACAAATGATTTTGAACTTGAAGTATGTTGAAAGGAGTATCTGCTTGGGATACACAGATGAAAGACATGATCGTCTGTATTTCCATGCATACATGTTTCGGGCAGTGTAAGTATGTTAATGTGCTTTTCTGTGATATAATCGTCTAATTGAGGTACTTTGTTGCAAATAGATCTTTTAGTGATGGGCATGCACATTGACAGGTGTGGTGGTCATGGGGGTTGCGATAGATCTGGTACAAATGTGTGGATTTTCCTTTTCTTGATTCCCGCTTGCTTGCCTCTGTGTGTTGTTAGTCTGGATTGCATCCTACAAGATCTGATGTTATTCCAAACTAGGATTAGAAGTTAGTAGTTTACCAATGTTATGTAGGAAACATCTATTTTATGTCCACCCACTTGATTTACCTAAATATCACCTTATAATCTAAATACAAATGTAATCTCAGGTAAAAAATTACAAAATAAACTACAGATGTGAGACACCAACAAGCACTATCTACTTAAAAGAGACTATAAACGCCGAAGCAACAAAAGAAAGAGAGAATTCAAAACTGAGATACTTAAATATACTAAACACGGGCAATTATTCATTTTTTTTCTTAGCTGGTGGCAAGTATCCAAGCTGGAATTCAGGTATCATTAAACCCATCTAAAAGGCGACAAAACAATCCTAGCAACTGCAGGGTAAGGGAAGGCCCACTGCAATTTAATATATATGTCAATTACATTAAAGAACATATAAGCACAATCCTGAATAAAACAGTTTATTATTCTCAGATACATATACCTTTAAACATACCATAAAATGTTTGATACCTACATAAAGTTACCAGCAAAGTGGCCAATGCGGCATGCTTTTCAGAATTAGGAAGGTAATCATTAATTATAGCAGGTATAAAACAGAAGATCAAATACTGGTCTGGAATAAACAATATGTCCTGACAATGCTATAGTATATGAAACATATACAGTCACGGCTTAGAACTGAACAACTCTGGCATCTACAACTGGGTCCCGGTTTAAAACTTATACTTTAAGATCTAGATATAGAACATTTGTGGCATGAAGGAAAGATGCAAAACGCGAACAATGTTTGAAAAAAACAAATAGACAAATCACAAAAATAGATGCGCACTTACAAACTGGAAACTATTCACATTGTCAAAAACACCCATCCCAGGTCATCCTTTACAAAATTAAGGATAATGCTCACATCTGCAAATAGGAACTAGGTGATGTAATAGCACAGATATATCTGACAGAAAATGTTTCTGCCATAGAGAATGAAACAAATTTTCTGATAACATGTTCTTTATCAGCGGTTATCACTCGAACATTTAAAGAAAAACTAAAATATTTGTTAAATAATGAAAATGAAAAACAATAATACAAATAGCAAAATACACAGTAAACTGTTTCAAACCCAGAGAAGAAAAATTGAAAACAGCTACCTCAAAATAAGGTCATGTACATGCATTAGTAAACTAAATATTATACAATCATTTTGTTTGTTTCTTTGTTAGCTTTTCTTCGCATCTGTTTTGCATTTTATTCAAAATCCTAATAAGGATACAAACGCAATAAAGATTATTATTATTACGAATACAGTGCAGTCCTGACAGAACAAATGACATTCGCCAGCGCATGCGCAGTAATGAACTTGAAGATTAGCATATGAATAGTATCCTGAGAATAATAGGAAGCCACCAAGTGCAGTGGAGACTTGAAAGTCAAAGTACATCACGTGTTTTTCCAAACAAGAAAAATACATCAAATCAGCTAAATTGTAAACAACTGATATATGAAAACTCTGGATGTTCATAAATAACTGTGGTAAATCCAAGTTGGAATGGTATTGAGAAAGATGAATACTTGCAAATTTTCACGACCACAGTTTGGAAGGCTGTCAGCTAGGCGCACTACCCACCCCAATATGAATCTATATACTATACTATGATTGGCATGTACGTAATATCTAAACAATTTTCGGAATGTTGTTGGTATAGTTGTCGTGACTGTATAGTACATTATATTATATTATTCGTGTTTTGAAAACTTTTCAATAATAAAGTATAAGCCGTTGGAGTGCAAACAAAGGAATCAACTGGACAGTTCTAAAACACAAGACAGGTATATTCACCGCTACAATTCACACCTAGCTGTTAAATCGTTTACGGAGTCACTACTTACCGTTGAGACGATATTCGTTCTAGTTATACTGTGAACTGAACTGAGCGGTGAGATGAGATGAGATGAACACTCAGATTTAATTAAATGTTAAATACCAACAGTCGACGTTCCGCTGTGATTACCACATAAGATCTCACGACTATTTCTCATTTGTTATTTACTGTTATTAATGCTGCATCGTTAATTTCACAGGATTTCACCATCTGTACAACCTGATTGTAAGGCCTTTGCCTCAAAGTATGGCCACGGCGTGTGACGTGATCAGCGTTGACAGGTTTCATGCTCTCTGAAAAAAACTTGGCTAACAGACATATTTTAAATATTAACATTTCGCATAAATCATACTTTTGTGAGTATTCTGAGAAACGCACAAAAAGACGCTCATTTATTGTTACTAATCAGAAATTTACATTTAAACAATTATTCTGTAATTATATAGCTAATTTGACTAAAATTCACTTTTTCAATTTCTATATTTTTTAATTTTCATATAATTGTTATTTTTGGTTATTAAGTTTTTTATATATCGTATCTCGGTCGCCTTAACTACACCTGACTCAATGCAGTTGGGAATCTCGTGCAACGAAACTAGTTTTAGACAATTTTTGTCGACCAATAACGGAGCGCCTAACAACAAATGTCCGTTTAGCGCATGCGCGATTCATCGTGTTTTAAGAAGTAAAATTACGGCGTTAGCTTGCCGACTCGCCCATGTATAGACGTGATAGCACGTAGTCCATGCCCGATGTGACCCTTTTACGCTTTAATCTCCTTGACGTGATTGTAAATTAATAACTATTTTTTACCTACCGGTATTCTGTAATTAATCTTCGAATTCTAAATATGTTAATAAAAATATTGATTTCAAAATGTGCAAGTAATGAAGTATAATGTAAAACTGTATGTATTCAATTTATTTATGTACTTCGTATATTTTTTTAGGCGTTTAAATAATTATCCGAAAGTAACGTTCTTGCTGTCTTACCAACTGAGCGCCTCCGACTTAATTTTGAAAGACCAGTTAAGCTGTGTTTCCGTTGGCATGACACTATGTTTTTGATACAACGAATTAAAACATTGCAGAATACAATCCCAACTATCCCAAAGTACAGTTTTTTTGACGTTTTCGACCTTTGTGATGGTTGCCAGGCGGTGAAAATGTCAGGACGTCAGCCCGAGAATACCTACATTGGGTTTTTATCAGATTGTTTATAGGTTGGCTATTATCACCAGTTGTTTGTCGTTTGTTTGATTCACATTCCAAATTTTAGTTTCCCAGGCGTCTTTAACGAATAACATATCTAACCGCTGGACTGATTTAATGATTTTATCAAAAATCATAGAAAATTGGATGGAAATCGGTCGTTTTTGGCCTTGACGGTAAGACTAGATTTTCAAGAACGCAGGTTGTTTGGATTGGGCAGTTTCTTTTGTGTGTGTCTAAAAAACATAACAGCGTTGTTTTTAGCGAGTTAAGAACATGCTCTGCTCTAATAAAGGATTTTGATATGTTAATCGAAAATTTTGAATTCCTTATTGTCTCCGGTATAAATAATCCTCGAAGCTCCTGGTCTTGACAATGGTACTCGCCCAGAATGGACTTCCTGTTCAGCGTACGCATCTTTGATTGTAGCAATGTTCACGCCACTGTACGTGAAGGTGTACACTTATTATTAATTAACCCATGTAATTTGATGGCCGTTTCTGCCACGTCTGCAAAAAGAAGACGATTTCCACTAAGCCCAGATTTCATCATTCAACCTAACTGTCATTGGTAAATTTATATCATTCATAATAAATGCAATTAAAAATGAAAAGATGGTGATGACGTAATGGCTTATTCGATATAAAATAATTCATTAATTAATTATTGCAGTTGCCTCATCTACTGTACATGTATTGTTGAATAAAGAGAGTTGAAAGAAATGAAATGATATCATAAAAAGCTAAACTGTCCTTGCAACCTGGTCAACCTTGCCAGATTACCCTGGGTAATTTTTTCCAAACTGTGACAGCCGACACATTCCATCATTGACCGATTTATTCTCATATTGACAACAATTTTGTAAACCGAACATTTCCCCAAAAAATTGTGCAATAAACCAGTGCAAAAGACTGTCACAGTCCTTAACAAAAACATACAAATACACAGACGATTTACATTTACTAGCTTTATTGTACTCGTATCTTCATATCATTTGATGAAATGCCGTGTTATACAATGTAAAACAATTACTCACATATTTATTTATTTATTTATTTATTTATTTATTTATTTATTTATTTATTTATTTATTTATTTATTTATTTATTTATTTATTTATTTATTTATTTATTTATTTATTTATTTATTTATTTATTTATTTAGGTATGTTAGCGCGCATTTACCGTTGTATCACGCAGAATTATATTGCCTTTGATATTAACACACATAAATAATGAAATTTGAAGAGTCTATATGAAAGGTATATATCATCAAATATCATATCATTAAATCGCCGAATATTTCACTTCAGTCTACTAATTGCACCTAAATGACGTTTATCCATTCCCAATTATGTTATTATAGTGTAATCAGTATTAATCATATACCCGGAGAATGTAGTGTATCCACTGGAAGAACTAAACAGAGCATAACTCCAACCCAGTTTAACCCATATCCCATCTCCTTCATGCAATTCTAAGATGATACTATTTGTTCCTGTCCCATAACCCGCAGTATTAGAGTAGGCACAAGTCAGCTGAATCTGGTTTTTCATAAAACAAATGTCAAGATTATTGCCATCTCTCGGTTTCACTGCTGCCATAGTAAAATAATATACACCACTAAGGGGACATGTAAAGTTACCAGTGCTTTCATTGTAATGGCCCCCTATGTTTGTGTAGATGTTATCATACGTCACCGGCTGATCACCTGATAACAGTTCAAACGTACGTGCAACTGAAAATGCAACTCTGGAAGTGGTCTGCATTGGGCCTGGGTCACCGGTATTGCCTTTATCGCCCTGGTCTCCTTTCACACCAGGTATACCAATAGGTCCAATCTTTCCCGGCATTCCCGGTACGCCAGAATTTCCTTTCTCTCCAGACACACCTGATTCCCCAGTTAGGCCATTGATACCGGGTGTTCCGTTGCTTCCGTTGTCGCCCTTTTGCCCAGTCTCCCCTCGGTCTCCTCTTGGGCCTTGTAACCCTGGATTCCCCGGTATACCTTAATAAAATCAATAATATAATATAAAAATCAGTATACAATTGTATGAATACATTATGCGATTAATTATGCTATAGATACGATATGATTTTACCTGGTGTGCCAGGGATACCCGGAACTCCATGACAATAATGTATGACGTCACCAGCCTTGTCTTGTCCATGTGTAGATATTACAGGAATGAGTAGCAGAAATAGCGGGATAAGTTCTCTGAATCGATTGGAAGACGCACCATTCTTTGTGTTTGATATCATTGTGGATTCTGTAAATAGTGTATAATAACATAATTAAATGAACAAAAATGCGTTTCTATTTTTTAAACTAGAGCATGCATTGAGTGGTGATTCGTTTGAGAAGGAAAGTGAACCGTAAGGTCTGAATGAAAAGAATTTGTTTGTTTTTTCCATCATTGCCGCCATCATTTCCAATAATCGGATATTTAAATTATTACAATATATGCAATGCCCTTTTGTGACGACAAGCATTAATGTAACACTGTTGTTGTCACTTGGCTTTGTTTGTCATACAAAATATTGTATACTTAAAATAACATTACTAAACACACATCAACGCTATTCTGGCGGCATCGACACGTTTCATCACCAGATGACACGACTTAGTGGAAAGTGCTAAAGCTCAGTGTTCTCGACAACAATGACGCATACTTTGCTCCATCTAGTAATCTCACTGTTGATTTACTATATAGTCAACAACGAAAGGTGTCTAAATCAGTGTTTTTTTCACTTGTCTTGAATTGTGGTGGTTTGAACCGTTTACATTGCATTGTTCATGCCTATATTGTTTGGTCTGCTGCACAGTATCCATCAGAAGCAACCTAAGAAACGACAAATCATCAACGCGAAACGCATACTCGTGAGTCGATGGGAATGTGTGGCCACGTAAGACATTCAAACAATTGAGATGAAAGATACATGACATACTTAATACAGCTAAGCTAAGCAGCGTGATCACTTATGTGTTTATTTTTCAATAATTCAACACGACAAATCACGCCACATGCCTGGGAACGATTCACAATACAGAGCACGCTTCCCATCACCAAATCGCAGCAGGTAGATCTACAAATTAGAACTACAAATTTTATAAAACGTCAAAATTATATGTAAAAAATCACCAACCCCCTCACTATATTATGTAAGAGCGATTCGCGAGCAGAATCCCTGGTAAATGTGGTGAAACTGTATTTGAAGACAAATAATTGTGCGGCGTATGCATTTTTTTGAATCCATTTCGTATTCAGCCCTGGCGGATATTACACCACCGAGCAGATGAGTGAAAGTCTCAAAAACAGTGTCAACTAAAAAAAAAAAATCTGTTTGTACCATCGATCGATATACTGGTGGAAGGTTGACTTTTAACGCACTGTTCATTCAGTAAGTTAACACGTTTTCCTTGGCAGCTCATGCACATGTATTCGTGATTGCAATATTTACACAA